ACAATGTCAGTCTCGCCCACTTTGTAAGATTTGTTGCGCGCCTGTCCTTACCCCTGTACCTTTCTAGCCGCCCTGATGTAATCGAGATCTTCGAGACGCAATGCCGGGAGTAATAGCTCTGGCTCTAAGTGCTGCTTGGCTAGGCTCCAGGTGATGCTTGGTTAGGCTCGAGGTGTTCCTTGGCTTGCACCTCGGTCGCAAAGGCTTCTTGGTCAGGCTCAAGGTGACTCTTGGCTAGGTCCGAGGTGTTGCTTGGCTAGGTTCTGGGTTTTTTTAACTGCACTGGCAACTAAAAAGCTGGTTGAGCATCATCTTGAAGTATGCCTACCCCAACATATTCGGAGCAACAAGCTGACGATTTGTACCAACTCTTTACACGAATGGGTTTTCCTCCTGTTCAACGTCCGCTGTGCACGGAGGCACATGCTCGTGACGTTCATGCCAAGTGTATCGCTAAGTAAGTGCTCTTGCTTTCCTGCTTTGCTTCGTGTGTGTGTCCGCCCCTGTTCCCAAGGGTTCCGCGCGGTCGCTGAGTAATCTAGCGGCTGGGGTTCTGGAGAAAATATCCGAGGGGGTCTCCACTGACGAGGCCTAACCCCCTCCGGGAAAGGCCGAAAACCCATGGGAAGCGCATGTCATACCGCACTTGGGTCGCATGGCGACAGCTGGTGGGTATATCATCGCTTGAAAGTTGCGTGCATTGCTCTGCATCACCGGTTGCTCGCACTGGCATCTTAAGCACTGGTCGCATCTTGGTCATATTTCAGTGCCTACTGGCTCCGTGCTCCCTCCGAGCGCAGAGATAAGAGTCGGTCGATGTTTAATGTTTTGAGCTCTGACCTGATTCTGTTATCAAGTGTGTGTGTGTGTGTGTGTGTCTGTATGTCTGTATGTCTGTATGTCTGCATGCCTGTATGTCTGTATGTATGTATGCATGTATGTATGTATGTATGTAAGTATATATGTGTGTGGGTTTGTGTATAAGTATATGTATGAATGAATGAATGAATGCATGCATGCATGCATGCATGCATGAATGAATGAATGAATGAATGAATGAATGAATGAATGAATGAATGAAGATAGGTAGGTAGGTAGGTAGGTAGGTAGGTAGGTAGGTATGTGTGTATGTCCCCACGGGCTGGCTTCTGGTCTTTGCGAGCCAACCACGTATTTGGAAGATGGTCTTGTGTTGGTCTTGCTGGGTCTGTTGACTGGGCCCATGTAAGAAGTTGTCTACTGAAGCTGAAGCTGTACGAAGCGGTTGTTTCACTGTTTGGTGAGTGCTGCTGGCATTGAGAAGCTTTCCCGTAGGGAATTGTGTTTGTGACTAGTCATGTCATGTCTGGCAATGTCTGGATCTGACGAGTTGTCTTCTGAATAGCCTTGGCTCCTGGGATCCTCGCCTGACTTGGTGGAGCGCGAGTGCCAAAAAATGTATGTATGTATGTATGTATGTATGTATGTATCATACACACATACATCTCTCTTTCTCTGATTCCGAGCTGTGCTTGGGTTTGTTTACGAGGCCCGCAACGGAACCGTCTCTGACACCGCAGCCGCGGGATCAGCCCTTTCCGGCTCTGTCCGGTTCTGCAGCTTCTGCTTTGAGCTATCGTTCCCGCGGCTTGATTGATGGCACGAGGCGACTGGTTTCCTGTCCCTCTTTCTGTTCCCGGTGCTCGCCCGCTCGTCAGGCAGACGACGGCGACGCCGTGTTCATCGTAGGTGTTCCGGGTCTTCGTCCCGTTCTTCCCCCTCTGTCAGATCTGCTCGTCCGGTGTTCGTTCGACCCGGCAGCATTTTTGCACCTGCCTCCGGCTCGCCTTTCTCAGGTCGACGTGCCCGGAGGCGTTCTTCCTCGTCCTGTCGCCGCCGTTCGTCTTCACGATGTTCTGCACGCTCTCATGGGGTTGCCTGAAGTGCTGCCGCATGCTTGCTTGCTTGCTTGCTTGCTTGCTTGATTGCCACATCCGCACCTTGAGCTACCTTGAACTTGCATGTTCCGCAGCTGTTTCTGACCCTGCTGTCGGCCGTGCTGCCCTCGTCCGGTGTCCTTGCTTCCGATCCGCTGCCAGAGCCTACTTCCACTGCTGCTGATGTGGCTATGGAGGCTGAGCCCGCAGCTGCGCCGGCGGCCACAGCCAATTCGGAGGAGGTCTCTTCAGCTTTTCGCCACAGCTCTGGCCATGCTGGATCTGGTCCAACTGTCGCCACCAAGAAGTTCCACGACAGATTTCTGTACCTGTCGCTCACATCTCCGGTGGATCCTTCTCTTCGGTCACCGTCGCTGCAAGAGATTGTTCACGCAGACCTCTCTGTCTGGGCCACAATCTCTGAGCTCAGCCGGCACCATGGCTGGAGTCTTTCGGATTCTCTGAACGATGTGGCGTTTCGCCCTCGCCCCGCCCCCCCCACCGGCTCTTGCTCCGGGCGGTAAAAGCGACGCCGTTTCAACATCGTGATTCAAGACCATCAACGGCAAGGAAAGCTGCGTGCATTTCGCAGTGGGCAACTGCACCAAGGAGGATTGCAAATTTCTGCATGTCTGTCCTGTGCCCATGCCCAATGGCAAGCCTTGCGCCCAGCCGCACTCTGCGCTTGACCATGGCAAAGCGAGCTTTGCTCCCTCACCTTTGCCTCCGCCCGTTACGCATCCGGCTTCTGAGCAGCTGCCTGAGTGCATTTCCTCTTCGTCTTCGGAGAGTGAATCACCCCAGCAGTTGCCTCTGCCCGTGGCACGGACGGCTGTCTCACCTTCGCAGCCACCCGTTTTAATTCTGCTGTGGACACCGTTGGCCATTCCACAGAGGCGTTTGTTTCTGGACCTAGCCTCTTCCCCTGTTTCCGTTGCTGTCGCTAATCTTCACAAGGACCGCCTGGAGCCTCTACTGGTTGGTCCAGCGTTGGCTATCCTTCATGATCCGACTTTTCGGTCGCTGTCACGCCTTTGCTCCTCTGGCCTGGTGGACGCTATGGGTGCGGCTCCTCCGTGCTCCTCGTTCTCGCGTGCCCGGCTCCGTCCACCCAAAAGGTATTCCGCATCCGACTCCTGCTCAACTTCGGGAGCTGGAGACATCCTCGCTCTTGCACGAGCGCACCAGATCACTTCTCCATCTGGCGGCCTCTCGCGGCGGCCTTATTTGGATGGAGAACCCCACTTCCAGTCGTCTGTGGCTGGATTCGAATGTGATGTCCAGCTTGTCAGGCAAGCGTGCTCCGACGGGTCATTTCTTACCCGCCGCACTGCCTGCTGTCCAGACACAGTCTTGCGTCTAGCCGCTAGCCTAGCTGAGAAGGCAACCCCGTACCTGTCTCAACTCCAAGTTTCCGGTGACGCCGTCCATCTTCAGGAATGGCATTCACTGCTTCCTGCCAAATTTCCGTGGCCTCTCCTCCGCCATCGCGTGGAGGATAGTGCGGGCCCTGTAGCACGTCCCGTCCGGATCCGTCCTCCCACCTGACTCTCGCCGCATCTGGGTCCAGTCGTGTTCCCCTCATACGGGCACATGTGTTCTCTCTGAGCAGTCTCTCCGTGTGCTTCGGCTCTGGATGGACTTGGTCGACTCAGGCACATCACTTCGCTCTCTCTTCCGGCCCCCAAACAAGGAATGCATGGCATTCGCAGATGTCTGCGCTTCCGCTTCTTCAGCGGGACTGGGCGCGTTTGTCCGCCTGCCTGATGGACGCCAGTGCTTCTTTCAGAAGTCGTTCAGCAGGCCTGAGCTTACGGCTCTGTTCCAGTGACTCAGCGCTTCTGACTCCGTTCAGAGCTGTGTCGCGGCTTGGGAACTACTCGCCCAATGCGCTCTCGTGGTGCTGGTTCACAGTCTTTTGGGTGAAGGCCACCCTCCCCTGCACTGCATTGCGATAATGCAGCAGCAAACTCTTCCAGCTGGAAGGGTCTGTCTCTGGCCAAGGGTCTCTGCTCTGTTTTGAGGTCCTTTTTCCTCACAGCATCTCACAGCACAGCCACCGTGTTTCCGTCTACATCGACCATGTGCCAGGCAGTGTCAACGACATTGCTGACGAGATCAGTCGCTCTGCTGACCCTGTTTCAGTTGGGTTCAGTCACACTGAGTGCGTGACCATGAACTGGGAGTCCTTCCCGGACTGTGTCTCACTTTCTCCACTTCCATCCCAGTCTGCTGTTGACGGTTTTGTGTCCCCGTTGCCTGACTTGCCTGTTCTTTGAGCTCTCCCCCGGCTGTGTTCAAGCTGCAGCTCGAGGTTTCATTGGTTTTCCTGCCAAGTCGAGATAGCAGCGGACGCTCTGCTTCTGTGTCCTTTTTCGCCTCCACGTACTTTCTTGTACAGGAGCGAAACGGCTCAGACGCGCATTTCCGGCAACGGACAACAGGCTGCGGCTTCTGCAGACGCTCTGCCTGCTGGGGTACCGGACTAGTGCATAGTGAACGATTCCGAGCTTTGATTGGGTTTGTTTACTAGGCCCGCAACGGAACCGTCTCTGACACTGCAGCCGCGGGATCAGACGGTTCCGGCTCTGTCCGGTTCCGCAGCCTTTGCGTTTAGCTTTCCCGCCTCCGCCCCTGCGGCCTACCCTGTCTGCTAATCTCCTTGGTTTTTTCCCCCCATCTGGACTTGGACTTTCAACGGGGGCTTTTCCGGCCAAGTCGAGATAGCAGCAGACGCTCTGTTTCTGTCTCCGTTTCGCCTCCACGTACTTTCTTGTACAGGAGCGAAACGGCTCAGACGCGCATTTCCGGCAACGGACAACAGGCTACCTCTTCTGCAGACGCTCTGCCTGCTGGGGTCCTGGACTAGTGCATAGTGAACCTCTCTGTCTCTCGCTCTCGTGTTTGCCTGGGGTGGTTCCCTTGCTGCCGGCAGCAACAAGCTGTGGCAGAAGAAGGGCCTTGTGCACCGTTTCTGCAAGCCATGTGCGCGCAATATGTTATCGACACGAGACATGGAGTTTCGGAACCTCTCCAAACTGCGAGTATCAAGGGAAGCCTGCTCCTGCTCTCGTAGCGACGGTGCAGTGCCTGGTTAGGTCGCTCTCTGGGCGTCTGGACGACCACTCCTGCTGCCCCCGTGACTGCCAAGCCTGCAACAACAACGACGACGACGACGATGCCGCCAGCTCGGTTGAAAGCCAAAGCAGCGAAACCCGAGGCAGGGCACTAAGGGCACTTGCCGACAGTTGATGCTGGTCTTCTTGACTCCTTGCAGGTTCCGGAGCATCATGGTCCGGCGAAACCGCCGGCGATGCCACAAAAGCTGCTTGGCCAGGAAAGCGTGTGAGTTAAAAGCCCAAGGGGTCATCCTGGAGATGCAGCTGCGAACATGGAGCTTTGTGAACAGCAAATGCATTTTGAGTTGACCTGGATTAGTAGTTGAAGCTGTCCGTCTAGTTTCTACTTCGTGCCTGCATACTGCTCAGCTCAACGGTTGTGCTTGCACTCAACCTCAGACACTTTAGTAGGCTTCACCAGGTGCACATGGTGCAAACTGCTGCGATGAGCTTGGGGCCAACGTTGTCACTTTCGGTGCCCGGCCTCTTTGTAGAGTTCTGGCGAAGCTGCAGTGCTGCATATCGGTCAGTAGGCATAGGTCGGCATATGCATGAGGCAAGTCTTTGGCACCAAGTGGCTCCATCCAGTCCAGCCCTTCCAGGGTTCTGAGAGGCAGAGTCGAACCGTCAAAAAGCAAATTCGCTTAAGTTCTGCACGTGGTCTCAGAAGGCACCGAGGCCGGCAGAAGCCGGAAGCCCTGAGATTTTCGCCGAGCCTTGACCTTTCTGTGACTTTCGGAGCGGGAAAGTGAGTAAAGTGACCCAGTTTTTTCTGACAATCCGTGCAGGGAGGCCGCTCCCTCGTTTGGACTTGACAAAGGGCAGTCCATGGCGGGGTGGTCCAGATTAGTTTCAAGCCGCCATTGCCTGGCGCACATGTGGCGCGAGCTCTTGCCGAAGTGCAGCGCGTTCTTGCGCATACCGGTGTGAAGGCAGTTGCTGGCTTGCCCGGAGAAAACATTCACTCGCAGGGTGTTGTTGTTGTTGTTGTTGTTGTTGTTGTTGTTGTTGTTGTTGTTGTTGTTGTTGTTGTTGTTGTTGTTGTTGTTGTGTTGTGTGTGTGTGTGTGTTGGGACAGAGAGTCAAGGTACGGGCTTTAGGGGGAAGGAGATCCGTATAGAGCCTTTCCTGCCTACCGCTGCACGCACTTGAAGAGCCACGAGCAGGCGCTTCTCGAGGAAAACGGGGTTAACTTTGCTGGGTGCCTGGAGAAGTCGGAGCTCAGGGCATCTCGGCTGTCGTTCCATAGCTTCAAACTGTCGAGCACTCGTCGTACTCGTACATCGCCGGGAAGACCCAGGCGTGCCCAGGCTGCCTCCGTGATGTGCTTGCTGAGGAGCTTTGGGACTGCTTCCTGGAGCTTTGCCAAAAACCTCTAGCGTCGCTCCAGGCAGGGCTTTGCGGCCAAGGGTACGGGTTGAACTTCGCGGAAAATGCTTCAGAGCTGTAGTGCTGACTCTTCTCAGGCTCAGGTGTCGCAGTTGGCGGGCCCCAGTGGGCCCAGGTTCCCTGATGCAGGGACCCGACGTCTGCCTGCGCTCTGCCTGGACCACTTGTGCTTAGGACTTGGGAGCTCAGGTCCCTTCTTGCGCCCGCTTCCTTGTGGCACAGAGGGCCTCCAGAAGAGAGCCTGAGCAGGCTCAAGCGCATCCCTGCTACATCCTGCCCTGCCACTGCCCAGCTTTCAGTTGCAACTGCCCCGCCCAGGCGAACGAGGCCGAAGCCCGTCCCCGCCCGGTCGCGACTCCTTTGCGAGTGGCCCAGGCCCATTGCGACACTGGAAACGTGCGGGCATGTGTGGGTGGATGTCAGCTGCGATTTCCTGAGTGTAGGTTGGCTCGAGCCGGGATCGAGAAGCACCCCAGCGGCAGCACGTGACAGCTTCCATGCTGCCTGCAGCCTTTGTGGGAGCGCTGTGAGAGCTGTGAGATTTTTGCAATGTCAGGCTCAGGAGGAAGTGCTCCGCATCCTACCACTGCGCCGCGAGGAGCTGCTGAAGTTGAGAAGGGGGAGGGGGAACCCGGGCTATGGGGGCTCTTCAAAACCAAATCTGACACGGAGCTTCCGACTATTTTCATCTTTCGGTGCAAGAGGACTTCAGATCACCGGCGGACTGGGGCTTCGCCGTGCTGGGGCTTGGGGTCTGATACTCTGTACATGATCTGCTTGTGTTCCGTGAGAGTAGCAGGATGCAGTTTCATGACATGCGCCATACTTCCTGCGCATGAGGCCCTTCAGGTCCCTCACAATGCCGCAGCGGTTCAACGTTGGAGCCCTAGCTTGTGCCATTATACGAGCAGGCGGTTAAGCGGCATGTGTGCGTGTTGCCAGTATTCCTAACTGTAACTGTCCGGGAGATCCAAGGCAGCTACCGAAACTTGATGCGAAAGCTCCATCCCGACAAAGTGGTGGCCTCACCAAAGCCAAAGCAGAGATGTGTGTGCGGCTATCGTGGCTCTGTTTCCGACAGGTTCTGGCGACGGATGGCGTCGAAAGAAGCATCCAGCTCATCCGTGAAGCGAAGGCCTCGACACAGGGCCATGAGTGCAGCCACTTGTCCGACAGCGCTTGCAGGACATCTGCGAAAAAAGCTTTTCACGGATTGAACCTCCCATGGCACCACAGTCACTGAGGCTTGCTCCTAGTATCCGTATTCGAATCTAGAGCCCTGCACGAGAGTCTGTGCGAATCTGGGAGGTACGAGGTCCTTGACAGCAAAGTCGGGCACCGGCGCTACCAGCTCCGTCTGAAGCCAAGAGTGGGAGCTGATAAGTGGACTCTGGCCGCAGCCTAACTCGGAATGCCCGGGGACCTGAAGCGACCCAGTTTTCAATTGGAAGGTTCATGTATCCAGGGTACCAGTCACATGTACGTAGGTTTCAGACACCTTTGGAATGCGAGCCTCATTTGTTGAGGGCCGTTACGAGCCATGCCTTCACCTCTGAAGCGCTCATGATGTACTCTTTCGCTGAGGTTGGCTGCCTCCTCCAGTGATGGGGCCTCAGCGTTGATCAGGCTTTAGGCTTTAGTACGGTTTGGGGTCAAAACTGGAAGCAAAGCCAAAGCCTCCGAGGCAGGATGCTGCGCCGGTCTGCAGGTCAGGGTCTGAAACATCGCGCTTTTGTGCCGATACTCGTCAGGGGTTTCTAGCTGGACGGGTGGAGTTGGTGGGCTGTCAGGATACCTGCGTTGCTTGATTCATCATGGATGTGACGGTGTGTCTAGTGATCTTGTCTGTTGCAGGTATTTGGTTTCTGCCCTGGACCCGGCATATGGGTTTGATTCTCAGTGCCTGGAGCAGGCAGACGGATTGAATGAAGCTTGCTGCTGACTTGTAGGAAGCCGCTCACGATCACGGTGCTAGAGCCGGACTACAGCGAGGCCTTCTCGGAGCAAATGTTTTCAATTCAAGTCTGCATGACATCAGGAGCTGAGGAGGTTCGTGACAACGGAGGAGCTCACGAGTTTCGTCCTTGCAGCGAGGGCCTCGGTCTTCTGGTCTGCGTGATGCAGGGCTCAGTCTGGTGGAGATGATATGTCTCGATAGCACGAGTCGGCAGAGGTCGGTTGTTGCATTGCCTGAGCCAATTTTTGCTGCAGCCGTCCTGCCCCAAGTGCAAATCGGATGGGTGTCAAGAGACACAGCGCCCAGCCGCTTGGAACGCACGCTGTCAAGGGTGTCTGTTTTGCCTGATAGCCAGCATGTCGTGCAAGAGGACAGACTCTCCTGTAAGCCCGTGCCCCTACGGAGCAGTCGTTTGATGCTTTCTCAAGTGCTGAAGCGGCTCCTTTTTCATTCGCGCGCATCTAACGTGGCGGTGCCTGTCAGGCTAGTAGAGGCGAAGCGCTGATGCAGTTCGACGGCATTGGACAGAGCAAGGCAGCACCGCCATCTTGGAGCTATTAGTACTGGTAGCTGGCAGGTGTCGTAAAGTAAAAGTCCCACAGCAGAAGTTGTTGGAGGCAAGGATGGAGAGCCGAACGCACTTTGGCCGCAGTTAGCTCTAGGGCGAAGTGCCGGGCACGAAGTCACGAAGTCGAAGACGACTTGCTCTGGGTGTTGTGACGTACAACCCATGGGTTGGAGTTGGAGTGAGGCTGTGATCGAATGCGAGGATCATCGAGCCAGTTTTGTCCCCAGACCCATCAGCGCAACCTCCAATTTAAGGTCTTTTCGACCTCCTTCGACACGAGACCTACCTAGGCCTTCTTCTGCAGCGAGATTTTCGGGGGTAGGTGGCCGTGAAGAGTTTCTTTTTGTCACATCTCCTCTCGGAATTCTCTATGTGTGCAAGACATCCTTTGTTGAAGTTATTGAAGCCTTGCCTTGTCACCTCGACCCATAAGATGGGTTCAAACGCTTGATGGGTCGCTGTGCAGTCTGCGCACGATGTCTTCGGCATCGGATTCTTCAACATCGACCACGGGAGGCCAGTGTGCTAGAGTTAGGTTGAAGCGCGTCTGCGGTGGCGACCCTTGCCAGCAACAACAGGCATGTTGTGCTTGGGCGGCCCCGTCAACCCCCTTAAGACTTAAGAACAGACGTCACCTGAGCTTGTATGCTACAGCGTCAGCCGTTTCTGCCGCACTAGTGGGTGACAGGCCTCGTCGTCATTCCGACGCTGGCTTGCAATGCAGGCTTTCGACCAGGGGTGCAAGATGCAGTGCAAAACAAAGCACGAGGGTGCTAAGGACGATGCGTATCATGGCTCCACCCGGTTTCAAAGAGCTATTCAGCCGCAACCGTACTGTACTCGAAGCTCTTTGAGTTTCGAAAAGTGTAACCTGCATCTGCTGCTGAGCCGTCCTCGTGTCGACCTTGCCACCGCACAGAAGCGGCCGTTCCCCTGAGTTAGGAAATTTTTGAAGGCAGCAAGATTTGGGCCAGCCCTCCTTTTCCGAGCCTCTCCGAAAGCCTGACCAAGCACACAAGGCGCCAAATCGTCTGTCATGTTTAGATCTCGCCCTTTCCTCGATCACCATCTCAGGTCAGAGAAGCTTTGGAAGTGTTCGCCGACTTGTGGAGCACACTGCTGTGGCCGTGTGCCAGAGGCTCGCCGTAGCTCCCAGTGCATCCGTCAGATTTCTGAGCAATGATACGAGGGTTTCGAGCGAGAACCTTGATTGCAGAGGCACTGCGAGAAGAGAACCTCGCAGCCCGGCAAATGATAGCTGACCTGGAAACATGATTGGGAGCTTTGGCTGGGGCAGTACCCTATCACGATTGGGTGATGAACGTCGCCGAGAGAATGAGAGCAAGACCGAGCTTTGTCCTGCACGGTCGACGGTGCAGTTTCCGCTGTGGCATTGCGTCTTAGGTCTTGCACATCTAGCCGAAGGTACTTCGCTGGTGATTCGCCGGTGATTTTTCTTTGCAGCAGGTTCGTTCTCAATTTCGCTCCTTGGGCGAAGACCGGACATGTTGCATTTTGTATTCAACTGCATGTTGAACTCATGCGCAGGTTGATGCGCCCGGTGTTTGTTCATGCTCGTTACCCAATGTGATGTCTCAATCTATGAGTAGTAACGTGTAGTGTAGCGGCGATCGTTGCGAGCTTCGCAATCGACCGCTTCATTACAGCCATTAGAGCAAACACTGCTATCAGCGATCCATTTTTGCCCTGGGGCAGTTCAGGCTTTCGAGCCTTCCTTGCTAGTGCCAGTCAGTGTGCTTGGGGGAGGGCTCCAAAGCCTGGCCATCGCGAAGCCTGGCGGCTTCCTTTTGAAGAAATTCTCTTGCTTTGAATTCGACTCCCTCTTGTGCGACAGCTCGTGGCTCGTGGGTCAGCTTCGAGGGTCCTGGCTGAAGAATGCCACGCGCTCGAGGTGAGAATCTGCGCCGCAACACGTCTCATCTAATCTGGTTATACAGCCCCGTTGTGGGCCGAAGACGTGGAATCAGCCTGCGCAGGGCCACCATCTGTTGACATTGGCTTTGGTGCAGGGTGTTTTTCTTCGCCTAAAAGGTGGCTCAACGGTCTCTTGTCGCCTGTGGCAACTCAACCCTCAATTGTGTCAGACTGTGACCCGGCTTGTTGAGCAGATGAAGAGTAGTTGCACTGTGCTTTTCTACACATTTCTGCATGTTGAGGGGGCCCGAGGCTTTGGATGGTGTTGCACCTAAATGCTGCCTTCAGCATTGACTTGGAAATCTTTGGAGCAAATCCGGCTATCCGCGACTGTACAGGACTTGCCTTGATCAATTTGCGCCAAAACGAAGGCAAGAATTGAGCTAGATGTGCTTCCTGATTTTGGGCCTGTCATCGTAGGGCCTTTCTAGTTATGTGAGGCCAATGTCGCTGTCAGAAGCATGAGACCGCTCTTCGTCCGTAAGTTGTGGTTGACGTCTTGCCTAGAATCCAGAACCTGTCCGTATTCCTTCCATGTCAAGTTGGCATGACGTCACTTTCTCTGGAAAGTGTGGCAAGAACAAGCACGTCTCCAGACGCCACCTTTTGGAAGTTGAATGCGCTGGGCAAAGCGAGTCAGTGGCAGCTGGCCGTGCATATTCTCACTCAGTTAGAGCCATTGCAGATCCGGCCAAATGAGATTACTTTCGGTGCTGGCATGGGTGCTTGTTCTAGAGCAGCCCAGTGGCAGTCGTGCCTCCAGCTGATGGAGGATCTAGTCGGAAAAGAGCTCCAGCCGAACATCATTATCCACAACACAGCCCTAGCTGCATGCGAGAAAGGCTCGCAATGGACAGTGGCACTGCAGCTTTTCAGTAGCTTGCCACGAGCGACTGCAGATCTCGTTACTTACAATTCCCTGATCACCGCGATGGGTCGGGCCGTTCGCTGGAGCTGCGCCCTAAGGCTGCAGCAGACGTTGCAGGAAGCGTTGCTGGAACCGGACCGGATTACGTTCAATGCTGCCATGAGTGCCTGCAGTCGAGCGGGTCGCTGGGAGTCGGCCCTGGACCTTTTAGCAGATATGCTTCACACAGGTCCAGTTCCGTCTCTAGCAGACTTCAACGTTATGATCAGCGCACTGGGAGATGCCGGGCAGTGGGAGCATGCCCAGCATCTGTTTTCGGTTGCAGTCGCTGCCGCGCTGGAGGCAGACATCGTGACGTATACTTCCTTAATCTCAGCTTTGTCAATGGGGAAGCGTTGGGAATTAGCGTTAAGCTTACTTGGTGCAACGGTCGAGAAGAGCCTACAGCCACAGCTGCGAAGTTACAATGTGGCACTTTCGGCACTTAGACGGGCTCATGCCTGGCGCAATTGCCTGCGGCTTGCAGCTGGTGCTTCGGCAGCTGGCCTGCATCCTGACATCATCACTCAGAACGAGTTGCTTCGGGCCTCGGCCCGTGCGGGTCAATGGCAGTTGGTGCACAGCTTGCTTCGCGGCCTAGGAACCCTGTCCTGTCGCCCGTCCCGGGTCACCTTCAATGCAGCCTTGCAGGCTGCTGAGTTTGGCCCAGGCGTCGATCTCTCTCTCCAGCTGCTGGACGAGATTCCGCGGCTGCGTTTGTCGCGGGAACCTGTTGACTTTAGCCCGGTCATTCTTGGGTGTTTGGCTGCCGGGCGCATGCAGAATGCCCTAGAAGTCTTGGGCTCCATGCTGGAGGACGTGTGCGGAAAGGGTTTGGTAGATGTGGCTGCGCAGTTTGACAGGTCTTGCTTGAAACGGCTGCAAAGGACGAGGGCACTACAGGCCATCGCAGCATGCTTGACGCCACTCCTTTCTGCCTGCGAGAGTGAGACGAGCGAGACGAGCGAGACGGGCACGGAGCTTGCCTTGTTGCAGCTTGTCGGCTTCGGCATAGACTATGAAGAAACGGGGGAAGGCCACAACGACTCAAGCCATGAGGAGCTTTTGCAACTCGCGCACGCGCTGGCTCCCGTTGGCCTTGCCGCCAGGCTTTCTGCTCGCGGCAGGGCCTCCGAGGCGTCGGAGCTGCTGTGGGAGCTTCTGGATCGCCCCGTGCCCGCGGGGCCGGGGCTTACGACGGCGGTGCTCAGCCGGCGAGCCGCACTGGCTTTGCAGGCAGAGCTGCGAAAGCGACCCGTGGTTTATGTGCCAAGTCTGCCTCGCTTGGGTGCGGCCGAGGCTCCTTCCATGATACCTTTGAAGCGGGCGCATGCGCGAGAGCTGAGCCTCCTGCGATACGTTCTCATGGAGGCCAAGCCCGGCAATCCCGCTTCCCTTTGCGAAGCAGTGGAGGCCCACAGCCAGCTACTCGGAAAGGAAGGGATGTGGTCCAAGATTGCAGGTGGAAGCAAGGCCGACTGTTTGCTTGCTGCAGCTGCTGGTTCTGCAGAGGGTCCAGTGCTTGAAATTGGTACTTTCTGTGGGTATGCAACCTTGTGCTTGGCACAAGCTCTGCCGGACGTTCGAATCACGAGCCTAGAGACCGATCCCACGATGGTAGCCATTGCCCGAACTTTCATGGCGCTTTCCGGGGTGGCGGCGCGAGTTGACATCCGCACCGGCAATAGCCGCAACTTGCTCCCGATGCTTGAAGGATCGTTCGGTATGGTCTTCATGGATTTCTGGGGCTCGCAGTACATGGAGACATGCCAAGACCTCGCCATGCTGGGCCAGTTGCGTCCTGGCTCCACTGTTGTTGCGGACAACGTGCTGGAAACCGGAGCCATGCTTTATTTGTGGCACGTTGCAAACCCCGTGGCTTACTTCCACACGCAAGTTATGGCAGTTTCAGAATTCACCAGAACTGGCAACTCGGGGGTCGAGGAGGACTGGCTCAGTGTTAGTGTTTTCGTGCCTCCCATGCACGGCGTAGGGAGCTCAGAACCGCAGGGGCCTCCTCCAGCGAAGGTAATTGAAGCACATGAGATCTCGGAGCGGATGCGGGAGGTGGTGTTCAGCCCTGGGCACACCGTGACAGCCAGAGAGCGCTCAGTCTTCTGTGCAAAGATGAAGCAGCTCATCTTCAGCGAGCTGCCTTGCTTGCAGCCGCAGAAAAAGGGGAAAAGTCCACATCAGCTTCCTCAGCTTCTGATATTGCCTGCACAAAGGAAGACGACCTCAAAAAGATGCCCAGCCTCTGGAAGCAACCGACCGCGACCGTGCCGGGCCATGCTTGGGCTTTCGGGATCTTTTGAGCTTCGGCTTTCTCGAACGAAGCATCCCGGCCGAGAAATCTCCAGGTGCACGTGGCTGCTGCGAATGAAGCCGGCCAGTCCCGCCCCGCGAAGCTGGAGGCGCTGCCCGTGCTCATGCCGAGTTAAGGTAGGTTTGAAACGTCCGTCTGCGTAGTGTGCGCATCACTGGAGGAGGTTCTGATGTGAGTTACTCTCGTTGGAAGTCTGGTGCCGACATGTCTTTGAACTCTGTGAGATCCGGCTGGCTACATGCATGGCCATAGCCTCAGCTGTTGTGTGCCAGAGCTTTAGTCTCACGCTTGTCCTGCGAGGGAGCACGTCACGCGAGGCATCAAGGCAATCACATGGCCACATTTACTGTTGCTGATGTTGCTGCTGCCGCCCACCGTGCTGGTGTAAGTGCTGGTGGTAGTGGAACGAAGTGGACATGGTGGTCCTGCTTCTGACGTTGTGCTGTTCTTGCTGCTGTTGCTTGCTGGATGATGCTTGCTGTCACATGGCTGTGGCTAACATAAGTTTGAGCGGCACAACGCTCTCCGAATGAAACTGCCGCCAAGGCTTGGTCTCCGAGCAGTTCGGACAGCGAGTCCAGTGTCAGCTCCTGAGGCCGCGACAAGAGGAAGGTGAAGAGTCGTGAGAGGGCCCTGCCTAAGCCATCCGCTTAGCGGTGTGCGGTGCGGCGGTGCGCGCCCAAGGCGACCTCGAGTTCTGGGCTCCCTGGGAGCCCTCAGAGCCCTGACTTCGAGGAGGAGATTCAGAAGCGGCTCGGACCCGGAAAGAGCTCTTCTCATCTCTTCGCCTCTTCCCAGTCCGCTCAGCGCTCAGGCGCTCGGGGCCCGAGCTCCGGCGCTGGCTGCAGAAACAGCTGAAGGCGAGCCACGACAAGCTGTCGCTGAATCCGCGCATCTTGCGCCCACGCCGGTAGGCACCGCTGGTCGCCTGGCTGAAGACGCTGCGCCTGCCCACATCCGGGACGAAGGAGGCGCTTGCAGTTCCCCTCCGTGTTCGAAAGTAGAGAGTGGGTCAGTGCAAGCCGCTGCTCACAGAGAGTGGTCGCAGGATCTCGTGGAGAGGGTCCTGGATGTGATGGGGATGTGATGGGATGTGAAAACGCTGAGTTTGGAGGCACATGGCCGTGCGCCAGGTTCAACGAATACCATATAAATTGTGCATTTGTGCAGGAGCTGGCATCGGCTGAGCAGGTCGTGCTGTTTCCTTAGGCAGAACTGAACAAAGCCAGACCGGGACTTTGCCGTTTGTTCAAGGATTCAGGAAGATCAAGATCCTTCCTTCCCTTCCGGAGTCTTGGCCTGTGGCATGTACAAACGACAACCCTTCGTGAGGTTCTGAACCGGGGATGCCACCGGGGGGCGAGGGTGGCAGATCGAGCTCCATGTCCGACTCTGTTGATTAAGTGGAAGTTTGAGGAATATAAAAGGCACTCGGACCATGGATCTCTGTCTTGATTTCGCACCATGAGCGGGGAGAGTTTTTTGGTTCGACTTCTGGGTTCACGTAGCTCACAGCTTTCTGGGGCGGCGCGAGTTGAACAAAAACGCATGCTGGACCTCTCCTGCATGTGTCGATGATGCATGGCAGCAAGTGAGTCGCTTTAAACTTTTTGGCCGCAATGCATCTGCTCAGAGGCTCCTGCCCGTGAGTCCGACAACTCTATGAGACTCTATCAGTTCTGCTCTGACAGCTTTCGTTCAACCCTTAGTGGTGCGAGCAATGCAGTCACCCGGAGAATGGCGATTGTAGTCATCCCCACCGCACGCTATTTTTGTAATATCTTGCAATCGCAGAGGGCCAGCGGCCGCCCAAATGAGATGCCGGCTGCCACGGCCGAGTTGGACGCCGACGGAGGCCCTTGATTGCCGAGCTCCCTTTTGAAGTTGTTTGCTTTCTGCCTTCTTGAATTGAAGGCTGGGCTCAGCCAAAACTGGGCTCGAACACCAAGCCCTTGGCCCAGCGGCGTGACTGCAAGAGGCCGCTGGAGGCCGGGGGAGTGCCATGTCTGCGCAGTGACTCAGGGCATGACAGCACGAAGTGGTTCGAACTCTGAAGGCTCTGAACTGAACCTACAAGGGGTTGTATGCTTGTATGCGCTTGTTTGGCTCACAGCTTTAGCTGCAAGTAGATGATTAGAAGCAGCGCCGCGATTCGTCCGCCGAACTCTCCAAGTGCGGCGGTCTCAGCTTGATGCTTGATCTTGATATGACAGATCTGACTGCACAAGTGCCGTTGAGGGGTATTTCAGTAGGATCTCTGCATGTCTTGTCACACTTGAGGCCTGCACGCGATGGGTCGCAGCGGCCGCGGACGAGTTGTGAAGGAAAGCCGCGCAGAGGAAGAAGGAGCCCAAGACGCCTTGAGGGAGGCGCAAAGCAGCTTTCTTGGAGAGGAGTCAGATATTTGGGCCGGGGCCTGGTTTGTGTTTACCTCGCATGGCAGGTACCCACTCCGCTTCGTGGAGGTCGGGCTACCGTGAAAACTCCGGTAAACGCACTCGAGGAGGTCATGCGACGACGAGGCAGGGTCAAAGCTAAGCAATGGGATCGGACCGCAAGAAAGAAGGCAGGAAGCCACCACCACCACTTCAGGTGTGGATGAGGCTTGGGATGCCTTGGAGCAGATGCATGCAGACGGCAAGACAACGGACAAGTCCGCCAGCACGTTTTGATCGGACCACACTGTGTGCTGACACGTGCAGCACGTGGGTGGTGACAGGTACACGGTTTCCCGAATGCTGATGAAGACCGTCGGTGATGGGCAAGCTCACCTCGACCCAACAAGAGCCTACAGAGGAATCGCTCTGGTTGAGCGATTCATCGAGATGCAACCGGAGGCCGGCCGAAGGGCCAAACGCCTCCGCATATGCGGGCAAGTGTGTCCACCATCCCACCACATCCCTTCTTGGTGAGGATGTGGACGAGGTCTTGTTCAATGCCCTCCTGGATACTTGCTGCCGCCTCAAGGACTGGCACAAAGCCGGACGGTCACCGGATCCAGCATCATCAAACAACAGCTTTGCCCTTGCTTCTGCAGGACCTGAAGCGGCTCGAGAGCTGTGTCAGCTGGATGCGGCAGTTGAGGGTGAAGCCATCGCCTATCACACTAGGCTTCCTGTCCTCTGGCCTTGTCTCTAAGCCTCAGCAGGGCTTTCCTGTCATGTCATGTCAGGCATTCTGGTGAAGACTTACGGCCAAGCCGGTGACTTGGAAAAGGTATTGGCGGCCTGGGACGAGATGGAGGCCAGCGGGCACCTCATTGTAAATCAGTCAAGCTAAGGCAGCTAAGTTTGGTCAGGAGCAGAGGGGATTGGCCAACTCAGTGACATATGGCTGCATGCTGGACGCGTGCGTCAAGTGTGGGAACCTCCAGAAGGCCGTGGAGGTATTCAGAGGAATGCGTCATGTGGCTGCACATGGTACCGAGGGCATCGGGATCAATCTTTCATGGGTTTCTTCGGAGCAGGCGGGTTCCTGGGAAGGAGCAGGCAGGCATGAAATCACAGCAAATTTACGCTCGCATGCCCTGCCGCAAGCCCAGGTGCCACGGGCAAGCATCGCAACACTATCCTCTATACCACTATGATCAAAGGCCGCTTGGTCAGACGTTTATGGCAAATGGCTTCACATGTGCCCCCCTGTGAAGATTTGTCGAGGCTATGGCTTACACAAGGAGTTGGAGAATGCGCTGGAGCTCTTCCATGAAATGCGAGAGGAAGGTGCTAGGCCCTCAAACCAACCCGAGAGGTCAGGCAACCTCCTGTGCCAGTATGGTTCTCATTGCTGCGGTGTTTTCCAGTAGACCGTATACATGTACGGCAGACAGCTAGGTGGGTGGGAATATACATGTACTCAGGTCCCTTACAACACCATCACGTACAACTCCATCCTGGAAGCCTGTGTGAAATGCGGAGACATTGTGTCCGCGGAGGCACTTGTGTTGCTTGAGGCGTTTGAGGGTCAGTGGAGATGCCCAGTCAAGCAACGACTAGACCAGGCACGCCGAAAGACTGGGAGAGAAGCTTGCTGCAACTGGAACTGCATTTGCCTAAGCTCATCATCCTGCCAGAACATTCTCGAGCAGATGGTGCAGACGGAGATGGAAATCGTGCCAGACCTGATCAGCATCTTGGCACGGGACTGGCCACCCGCATTGCCTCAGCCCTGAGTCACTGAGCGACTGCAAAACGCGGGGTGCACGGATACGTGCATCTAAGTGACATCTGAGCGTACTGCACTCCACAACCCTTGAAAACGAGGTCGCCGGGGCATCATGTGCGACTAGACCTTGCGAGTGTGTCAGGTTCTAGGGAGATACGTGCGCCCCCCGAGTTATTGTGCATTAGTTGTCTAGACATGTCTAGACTTTGTCCTCTGGCCTACTGACCACCATTCAGCAAAACATGTCATAGAGTGTCTCGCTTATTCAAGTATGGGAAGATCTCACCAAGCACGACCGAGGCTACTCTACGGTCCTGAAGGGCTACTGCCAGAATGGAGAGCTGCTGAAGGTCGCTGTGTGGAGGAAGCCATCCCATCGACGTCTTGCCGTGTGCCCCTGCTCAGGCGCTTTGCATGTTCGATGACATGAAAGAGAGACGCCTTCGCAGCGACGAGCTCGTGTACAATACGCTCATGGAAGGAACTCTTGGCTGCTGCATCTGACAGTTAACGACATCTAGTGAGCAGACGGCGAGTGCTGCTGTTTTGTCGTTTCACGCCTTGTGGCTGCTGTGGGAAAACAGCATAGATGCTTGGTGCATAATTGGCCCCATGAAGGCTGCGTGAAGGCGGACGACTGGAAAGCAGGCCGCTAATGTGTGGCTGTTGGGCGACGATGCAAGGCATGACAGAGCAGTTATTATAGTCTTTTCATCAGATGCATTCATCAAAACTCTCGGGAATTCCGCTTCTGCATGCCTATCATTGGCCACCATCACCAGTTTCATGTCCTCCTCAGTCGCCTCCAACAACTGAAAGACAAGACGCATGGTGCCCCAGACTTCGACAATGTATTGGACGGTTCACTAACTCTCCTTGCAGACCAGAAAGGATTTCGACCGCACTGAAAACGCCTGGCGCAGGCTGCGGCCTCTTCGCAGAGATGGTTTCTTGCGGACTCCGACCATCTGCGATCACAGCCAGCATCCTCTCAAGGTGTGTGTGTGTGTGTGTGTGTGTGTGTTTCGAATGGAGGGTACACTGCATATCTGCACTTTTGCACATGGATCCTGGTCGTAAGCTCGAACCCTGAACCTTGCCATGCCCAGCACTGAGGACCCAACAAGAAAACCAAGGAATCATTCCTAGGCTTGATGTGACAAGCGTCAGCTTACTGGTGTCTCCTGATCCCCTGGTTGGAGTAGCGCGGCACCTGGAATGGTAATGGGTATCGTGGGGAGAGTGGGGAGGCTTTTCCAGCGAGTCGGCCATGAAGATGCAGATGAGAGGGTGACGGATCTCTTCGCCGCGTGATTCGGCTGCATCGAATCATTGCGTATCCGGCAAAGTATCGGCCATCCACGGGCAATGCTTCTCGTTGGTTTGCAGTTCAGCACGAGCAGGGATGAACTTTACCATGGACCATGGACATTAGTTTGGGTAACACTCTGGAGTGTTGTCGGTGCCGCTGCATGAACACCTCAGCCATGTCTTTTCTTCAACCTCAGCCAGAGCGCCCTGTGTGAAAGCACAGGGTTGGCCTGGAAAAGCCGCAGCCAGCCGAGCGGCCTCGTGCCTCTCGCCGCGGGCAGCGCTCGCCCGCTGCTTCTCCGGTGCCTCGACGGGATGTGACGGGAAGGCATTCGAGCCAGTAGCAGCCTGCACTTACGTACATGTCACAAGAGGTTTATCGTCCAGAGAGGCTTCGAACGTCGGAGCGACAGGGTTTGGATTCGTGGAGCGGCTCGAGACATTTTTCAGCTTGGCTTGGATCTTGTCGGGGGCCGTGTCCTGGCTTGCTCCTAGGTGGAGGCATCTCCGTCAGTCACCGATGGCTTGCCACACCTGGTCGTGGCCACGGTGCTGTTTGTAAGGTGTGGAGCTTGAACATGTCGCAGTGCCAAGGTGTCGCAGAGCGAGATGTCTGAGGCAATCTTGCAGAATTGGGGCGGCACATGTCTATGCACACACCGGCTTTGAGTTAGAAGTGGTCTCTCTCACGAAGAACTGGTTTGAGCAAGTGCAAGCTTCAGGCCCCGCTGAGGCAGCTGCGGGGACACCTTTCCAACGGTAGCATGTGCAGCGCTGGGGGCTCTGATATCTGAGAAGCCGGTGCTGCACCAAAACAATTAAGAGCTAGTCAGAGCCGGCACCGCAACGCTCGAGGTGCCGCCTTCGCCTATGTCCCCGCCTCACGCAATGGGCTCTCCCGCATAACCCCCAGCATTCAGACGCATAATTCTGGCATGTAGTTGTGCAGAGAACGAAGACGCTGCAGCAGGCACTTCACGGCCACATGCGGCAAGGACAGTTTCCCGTGTGCTTCTCAGAGCTTCAGCTTGCAGCCTGTCCAGTGAAACTGAGAGCCCGAAGTAGAAGTCCGATTGCCTCATCAAGACTTGCACGGGGCTGCCTGCCGCTACAAGTAGAGTCAGGCAGTGCATCACTCGCCTCTGCGGCCGCACGGCGAGACTTCGGATCAGGCCGACTGCGTGCTACGCTTGTTTCTGTCGAGCCACCGTTTCTTTGTGTGCATGCTATTGCAGCATCGTATCGCGGCAGAAGCATTACGCAGTTTTGCACCGACATGGCGCTCGCCAGCCACACTCTAGATTGGCCTCGGAAACTGAGCGAGACGAGCACCTCTCCGCCTCATGCAACGTGTAGGCAATCGTAAGCTTGAGGATCCTGGCCATTGAAGAAACCGGGGCACGATAGCATCAAACCGAGATGCACGGATGCTCTTGGCAATGCCATGAGCATTGAAACTCGGGCTTTGACGAGTGTCAACTGTTAGACTGGTAAGTCGTGGTTGCGCAGGGAATGCTTCTTCTGTCGCTGGGACCCACTACTCCTGCGACAGGTCAAGCATAGCCGCGTGCCCTCACTGGAGCGAGTCTGAGCAGTTGTGTCCGTGGCGGGCTGCACGGGATCTGCCTGGGTACGAAACGGTACAATAGCACCGCGGTGGTGCGTCTGCAGCTTGAGGCATCCATGCTGCCACCGGTCGAAAACCGCTACCAGGAGAAGGCGAAGGGAGCAGTCCTGAGAGGCGCGATTCAGGGCAATTTACCATACCCTGGCGAGGCCTCCTTCTCTCAGGGAGGCGCTGGTGCCCTAGTGCTGAGGCTACCCTGAAAAGATGAGTCGTGCTTTTCCAAGCTCAGGCTCCTTTGCCAATGGATGGCAGTTTCCACGAGGCAAGTCGTTTGAGTATGTTTTTAAGTTTCGAGCATGACGGGCTATCGCAGCCGCCAAAGCTTCCAGGCTTGTAGCTCGCACGCCGGACAAGTGCCCATACAGTTTTCTCCCGTCCGGTGCCAAGGGGGCATGTTGCACCTTGTGGTCGGCAAAGGCTTTCAGGAATGCATTGACGTGTGAAGCTGTTGATGCTCTCCGCTTCAATCGGGTCGTAATCGGGCTTTCTTCTGGTTTATCGAGGCATTGAAGGGGACCTCTGGAACCTCGAGCGCGCAGCCTTCGTTGGCCCAGCCCCCTGCTTTTGTGATCTTCACCAATCTTACCAGGAGATGGGGCGCATTCTAGAGGATGCCATGGGCAGTGTAAGTAGTGCAGTTCCATTCTGGCAGGCTTCTCTGCTGCGGCAGCCAGAGGAGGTGTATGACCAGCAGGCCCCTGTGACTGTGCATTGTTTGCTCACTGTTTGCTCGTTGCTGAGTCTTCAAACCTATGTATACAAACACATGTGAATATACACGTGCTTTCTCTTTGGTTGTTGCAGGTTTGGGATTAGGCTTGTGTTTGTTGTGAGGCCTTGCCTGCCTTGTGCGAGTTGCGAGAGCCTACAGTACGTAGATACTTACTTGCATCGGCAGAGAGAGATACATAAATACATGCGTACATGCATGTATGCAGACATGCCTCACATATGCACATATGCATGCATGCGTGCATGCATACATACACACGCACACACGTACATACGCACAAGCATGGATAGAAAGACAGGTAGGTCGATCGAATCTCGAGATACTGCCAGGGGCATCGCCACTCTCATGGTCGCACCCCGTCCCTTGTCCCCGCCTAAGCCGAGTTCACCTGAAGCTCAGCACCAGTACAGGCGGTTTGTATGCTGAGGCGACGCTGCTAGCTCCGCTGGACGGTCTCGCCGAGGTGTCCCTCAAAGAGCGAGAAAGACAGAAACCAAAGATGAGGACCTTGCAGCACCAAGAGCTCCAAGAGCAGACTCCTGTGTAGATTCCCTGGCCGTGTTTTGAACAGCAGGTTCCGTGTTATTGGGCTTGCACGTACAGTAGGCCACACCTGGCCCATCTCAACAACTATGCTTGAAAGTGCACTTTCCGTCATCAGTGAGCTCTCTTTATGTCCAGCTTCTGCTCCAGCCAGGGGGCCTGCCAAAAGTGTGATCGCTTCATGAGCGACCAGGCCGGAGCTCACTCGGCGCAGGCTCACAGGTCCGTGAACAGAGACCTGGGAGGCACAGCCGTCACCTGGTGCTACGATGCCCAGCCCAGCTGCGGTCTTTGCAGTTCCTCAAGTCGGGGCAGCACTCTTTTCGAACTGTGTTGAGAGATCGTCTATCTCGGAAAGTGCTGAAGCAATGCAGCTGAAAGGTCGGACTAGTTGGGGTGGCAGACGGCAAGCACGACCAGGCCCCAACCACATCTTCTTGACTCAACGAAACAGCGGTACCAGCCAACAGCAAGTTTGAGGGCGTTTGAAACCGTTGCCGTCTGCTTCTTTCAGCATGCTGCGAACAGGACATGAGGCAGGCTTATGGGCACGCCGTCCCCACCCTTGCATGGACCTTAGAGTTCCCACCGAACAACGGTTTATGGCAGCAGGCCGAGGGATCCAAACGCTCAGACTTTCACACCTCAATTCTTGCGTCTGAGTCTGGGGGGCCTGAGAGTCTGAGAGGCTGCCTAAGAGTCGGTTTTTCCGGGGATCAGAACCGACTGCTTGGATGGGGTTAAGTCGGGGTTCGGTTGGTTTTCAGGGTGTCTCTTGGCTGGGAGGGAGATGTTTCCGGTTGTGTTAGGCTTGGTTCGCTTAGCTTGGGTGGGGCCATGAGTAGATTGGGTTAGGTTCGGCGGGGTGGAGTCAGAGTCAGGTCAAGTGATTGGTTGATGGATGATCCACTGTTTTAGTGAAGTAATCGGCCCTTCTTGGTGGAACATATTTTGCACCTTGATTGTCGAATAGGTTTTTTAGTAATCGGGCTTCTTGGTTGAGTAATCGGCACTTCGGTTGAATAATCTGCGTTTTTGTTTGCACAATATTTTGTCAGAGAGGACTGTGGACTGCTGTGAGGGCCCAGTAGACTGGTCTGATGTCCAGTTTGTTACAGTCTTTTCAACCGGGTGCCTGATGCTACACGCGCTCTTATAGATTATATATATATATATATCTCTCTCTCTCTCTACTCTCTCTCTCTCTCTCTCTCTCTCTCTCTCTCGCTCTCTTTGGTTTTGTCTGCCGCGAGTTGCGATTTGTTGCAACAGATCTGGGTGAAGTTGATTCAGCTGTGCTGCCAACTGTGCTTTCGCAGTTGGTCCGAGGCCGCGATGCTGTCCCCCATGGAGGCATCTCGTGACCAGGCCAATCCTGCGAAAGCCCTGTCTTGATGAACTGCATCAGCTCTGGAAAGCCAACGGAAGGCCCTGCCGACGCCGACGCGAACCAACATGGTCCAGCACTGAATCTGCTGTTTCAACATGTTTTGACATGAACATCCTTTACATGAGCATGGTCGGGCATTGTGGATCTCGCCACCTGGAGCTGGTGAAGCAGTTGGTGTGTTGAAACTGCTCTCCGTGCCGAACTCGAACTCAGTCCCCGGATGGCCAGCCGGCACCGGGACAAATGCCTTTGTCGCCGGCTGCGGCCTTAGTTGCTTTGTGAGGCACGTCTTGTTGCAGCAGTTGCGTCTCAGGATCAGCAGCACGGGAGCCTTGCAAGCTGAGGCATCAATGCTTTTGTCAGCAGAAGCAGCGGGGGATCAGGTCGGAACTTTCTCTCAGCAGAGTGTTCTCCTCGTGTGACCGGGGGCATTCGGCTTCGCACAGTTGGCATTTTGCTCCATCTGGAGAGGCCTCGCCTGTCCAGCTTTTCGGGGTACATCCACATGAGGAGCTGCCCAGACCTCGAAGAGTCGAGAGCGACGGCGCGTGCTTGGAGTTTGCTTTGTTCGTTTTCCCATCGCAAACCGCTGTCGGTGCCAGCTCCGGTCTAGGTCCTCGATGCGGCAATCCTATCCGACACACTCGCAAGACCACTTTCAGTCCTCCTACTTCTCCCAGGCTCGCATCAAGATATAGAGGATGGTCAGAACTGTCATAACTGTTTGACAATTGGTCAATTGCTCAAAACATCCTCTTTAGTTCTCTTCGGGCTCCTTTTTCGCCTGAAGGACATGTGGAGCTATTTCCCAGATCGGCATGGACGTTTGCAGCACAGAAGTGCGTGAGTTTGGCATGCTTCTGTCCCCCGCCGTTGCTTGTTGTTGCTCTTAGTGCCGTGCAGCCGCAATGCTGAGGATGGTGAGGCAATGTGAGGCAATACCCCAGCTTGCGGAAGTCGAAGGCTGGAGAAGCTCCAGCAGAGCGAAGCGACAATCCTCACATGGCGACAGGCCTTCCATTAAGAGTGACTACGTAGGAAATACAGTGAGCGCGAGACTGATTTAGTGAAGGCAGTGGCACGAGTACGGGCATCCAGAGCCCTGTTTGTTGCAGGCTGTTTTTCATTTATCTGGCAGCTTGGCTTAGTTTTTTGGCGAGAGGCAATCCATGTGCCTTGCGCGGAGGCTTAAAGCTCCCACCCAGAGGAACCAGCAGCAGTCGACCCTGGCTGTTCCCCTCACTACCAGATGGAGCATTTATACTGGACGAAACCTTGGGCCCAAATCAGACTGCCAGTGCAAAGTGTGCAAATCCAACCGCCCTCGGCACATGGAACTCGTCGTGAAAAATTAGTTCGAGACGAAACTCGGACTGTCTGCATGGTTGTACATGGTGCATCCAAATTGGAAGACCTAATTCGCGCTTCAGCGCGTTTGCATTCGCGATCGCAGCTGCTAGAGGCTGCGCATCCACGCTGTACCCGCAGTCCCAAGGAGTCCCAAAGGATGCAGTAAGGGGTCCTGCACCTCCCTGTGCCCATCATGCCCATCCCGCCGTGACATTCGCTCTGTGTAGGGAGGAGAGGAGACTCCTGCTGCAGTATTACTACTTTCACTGGACTGTCTGGCTGAACGAAACTGCCTGATCCAAGCAGTTTAGAGCAGCCTGGAGAGTTGTCTGACCTTTGATTTCTAGACTCTAGACTCTAGCTGATAGGGCATGGCATGCAGGACGAACGCCAAAACAACGGATAGCATCATTGGGGAAGCAAATACCTGCGGCTTGCCCTATCTCCACTTCAACTTTTCGCACTGCTCGCCGCATGTCCTGCGTTGCACAAAGTCAGCATTCCTGTTTTGCAAGATGCAAGGCAAGCTCCTGACCCGGCGTCGGCGTTCAGAGCTCATCAGAGCTCATGCTCATTTCACGTTCTGAATGCAGGCCGAAGCGACACCTGCCCGCTGTCGTCATCGGCGCAGCGAGGACCAGGGCAGCCAAGCAGAGGTGGGCAACCAACCGCGAACCGCGGGAGATCGGTTGGTATTGGTAGCGGCCCGCGATGACAAATTTGCCGTTTCTGCGCCCAGGCTCAGCGTGATGAAACCACGCGTGAGACTCAACTTGGCTTCAGGCACGAGTGATAAACTCTGTGTCAGTATGCGTACGCAAGGTGCCCTGCCCGCCTACCAACGTCTGCAGCTAAGAATAGAGTCAGCGACAGCCGTTTTGCACAGAGGGCACCTTTGCAGAAAAGCAGATAGCGAGGCCGTCTCGACCTTTTCTGCATCTCCATCGGACAGTTTCAGTCAACTTCAGAACCTGCCGTGCATCCGAGGCCTGTCGCCTTGCTACCAGACAGAACCAAGGCCGACCGTCCTGAGCCAGCGAAGGTTGCAGCATGAGGGCGCACTCTCCTCTGTCCTCTTTCCTCGGTCTTGGTCAAAAAAAGTCCCCCTGCTGCTTCTGCTACAGAAGAGACCCGTGTCAGCTTGCGCACTCGAGAGAACGAGGCTGGACCTGAAGCAGAGCCACCTCTGACAGAGAGGGCAAAGGCTCCGGTGGAGGCATTCGCTGATTGTGCACAGAAACCACATTAGCTAAACAGAAATGTTCTGACACCACTGAAGCAAGGACCGTCTTCGTGCGACCGGCGTTCAGTTCGAGCGACTGGCCCAGTCTTGATTTGCGCTTTTCGTCTTCGAGCCTCGGTCTGCCTGAAAGCTCAGACGGGAAGGGAACGACAGGCAGTGAGGCATGTGAGGCGCAAGCCTCGAGGATTTCCCGGAAACTCCCCGCCGCCTAAGAGTCAAAAGATTCGTTTCGCGGAAGATGAGAAGTGTTTCGACCAGGTTGGCATATACTGGAGATTGGTTGGAAGTGTTTGACAAGAAACTGGAGCAGGCTGGTCGAGTTGAGCACATAAGCCGCTGTATGCCGAACATTAAGGCCGTTGAGGCTACCGATGTAGCTCGCCTTCACTGACCTGCCCCAGGCCTTAGGTGACATAGAGGATGCCGACATCCCACAGGCCAGCATCGGCTCGAGACGAGTATATGCCAGGGTCAGGAGTCCCTTCTTGGTCGTTGCCCGGCGGACTTCTGACTTTAACGCAGCCTCCGGGCTTCAATCGATGATCGCCACTTAGATTGTGCTGTTGTTTCCTTGGTGTGTGCGGCGCCGGATGATTGAATATCGTTGTTGGGTCAATTCGGTGAAGTCTTGTGTGCCAGGAAGAGCTGGTGGGCTTCAGCCTGTCCATTACGGACGCCCACGGTTCAGACCTCACAGAAACCCGACCTTCATTGCAAAGGCTGCAGGTTGACGTTAAGTAGATGCTTATGTGGGAGTGTCCGGCTGGCAGAGTCGTTGGTGTCAGCTCCAGAATGCAAAACCCAGGTTCCGTGCTGGTCTACCTAGACAGTGCGGAACTGGAAACGTCTGGCCTGCCGACGCAAGGAACCGAGAGCTTTGCTCTGCATCTGTTTGTGCTTAGACCTCTATGAGCCCCAACCGCAGAAGCACAGGAAAAGGTGCGTCTTATTCCAAACATAAAGACCATCAGACGCGGGATCATTTCGCTTGAAGTTTTCAGCCTGAGGCAAGAGCTTTTTTCAGGATGCCAAGCTGGCGTGCCAAGCGCTGAGATCAAGCTTGCTGTATGATTCCAGACACCTTGTCAAGACTATGATTGCTGGTGTTGGGCGCCCGTGGAAAGAGTCTGATTCCGAAGGCGCAACGTCGCAAATGCAATGTCACCAGGTCCGCGCACTTCCCCTTGCGAGTGCGCTTCGGGCCCTCTTCCTCGGGGCACCTTGGCTTCTGCACTACATAGTCGCAGCTCGTCGTTGTCGTAGTAGCAGCAGTGGTAGTCGTAGTCGTAG